CGACTAAATTCTGGAGAATACTTTGTTTTTATTTGACCCACATGTTGAAGCTTGTTCATTCACGGGAGGTAATCATTTTCTTCGCTATGAACTCACTGTTAATGCAAATCGACTCTACTCCATTCTTTTCTTTCCTCTGCTGCGAATAGTCCTTTCCAAGACGAAGAACGTATCTTAAGTTTATTCTTGTGTTTTCGTAGGAATATTTTCAAGGTTAAATATTGTAATAGGTTATACCCCATTTCTATTTGATGATAGTTTCAAAATGTCTGTCGGGTGAATCGCAGAATAAGATTACCGAAATAAGCATAGATCTCTCAGATCATGTAGCCAATACGCAAATGAACGGTCCTTCGTCAATAAGTACCTATTTGTAACGCGTAGGTCTCTTATGTGAGGATCCAACCCCTCAGCCGGTTGAGGATTTGTTTACACGAGAGAACGAGACAGCCACTTCCCGCTTTTACACACTTATTCTTCACTGCAAATTATTTAACAAACTCTGAAAATAATTGAAGTCATCATGAAAAGCTATTTTCTTCAACGACTGACTGGCCCCTGTAAACATGACCTTCGAACGCTATAGCAAGTCTGCTTTCATCACCAGAGCGCTCATCATCAGCAAGTTTCCCATCTGACGCTGTCATTTGGTCAGCCAATGGGAGCCTAACCATCAGCCAGGCCAGCACCGCTTGTTATGCATAGTCCAAGTATCCTAAAGTTGTTCATTTCAAAAACTTTGGCAAATGGATTTTTCTTCTGATTTCAAATAAATTAAATTATAGTTGGCAAGAGCGAATGCGGATGGACAAATCGATACGTTCTTGAAACGTAGCTGTTCAATCAGAGCCGTAAAGGCAGTTTTTTTTTCAAGCATCGCTGACTTAATGCCTGAGTCTGATCTGTTTACTCGTAATGCGAAAACGCATCAGTTAACAGATTTGTTTAGGAGTCGATTTTTCACCGCTGGCGAATTCGCCAAGTTGTAATTTCCTACAGAGTTTGATTTTGCCCATGGAGAGGAGGAAAGCACAGGTACTGAAAAATATAGCCCCCTGGATATCTAAGACATTTTCTTAATGCCATCAAATAAGCCCCACCCAGGATGCGTATTTTTGCAGCCCTAAAGACAGAGGAAACTTCTGTGTAACCAATTTCTTTGGGGTTTTTTCATTTAGGTTTAAAATGACGTTTTTATTAAATGAAGGGAATGACGCACTATGTCAAGAAATTATGATATGGAAAATATTGAAATAATCGGTTTACCCTACATCGATGAAAGTGATCGTGTGATTTCCCATTATAACGCAGAATTATCCATTTGGAGCACACAGAAAATGAATTATTTCTTTTTTAATCAGTACGTTTTTCACGGCTATAATTGAAACGAACACCAGGAATCTGTAGGGCAATAGTTCTTTGACTGTGAAATGTTTCGGAGGTAGCACGACACTTGAAATACCCCATAACAACCAGCAGCATATCTCCCTCACTAAGGTGTGATAAGCCGGCAGCATGCTCGAAATATTTTGCACTTTTCAGGACACCCATACAGTATTGATGATCACAAAAGAATTACTTCTAGGTTGCGTCATTCAGCTTTTCTAAAATTTGGCTTCCTTAATAACACACTCTGTCTGACACGCTTTAGCAAAGAACTAAGATATCGTTTGATGTTACGAGCCTTTATCATCTGTAAACAATATATGGCAGTGCGGTCATACAAGATGTGCAATATTAAAAATAATTTCCACATGAGAGAGGGATACAAAGCCTTCGTCTAGCCCTACTACAATGGATCTTGTCTGGATTAAGAGCACTTCAGCAATTAAATGTTCTTTCTAGTTGCCATCGATTATTAATATGGCTGTATCCCTAAAATCGATGTTCTCTTCAACACAAACGGCTGCCGACCATTTCTTTCACATATGCATTTCTTACAAAATCATGACAGTTTAACAATGAGCCAACTCACGGTGTAAAGTATCTTTAGTATCCATCGCTAGTTTATGAACGGAGCCGTGTGGCGGCAAGGTGCGCCTTGCTAGAGCTGCTGATTGCATATGGAGTCTACGAAACGTATCAAATCTCAAGTTATGCGTCTGGTGATGACAGGTCGAATCTGAGAGTGAAGACGAGGCATAGCACGTGACCTAAACCTAGGAGTGGTAGAGCATTGTAGGAAAAAGTTTTAGGATTAAGTTTTTCTGGAATACTAAGTTTCGCCTTCCTTTCCTTAGCTTGAATATTTGCCCTTACCAGAATATTAATACAGCGCTTTATTAAAATATGTCCTATGCTTGTAAAGTTTGTTTTGGAGAAACTTACGGGTCTCAAATATAGTTAATTATTCGCTTAAGTACTGTAGCAAACAACCACGCTGAACGATGAGGGATCGTGCACTAATTAATTTAATCGACGCAACGACTCGATTATCGATCGAGGTGTAGATCGAATTACGTTATTAACCGCAGAATCACTGATTACCTCTGCCCAACGAAACTGAGACGCATTTCAGGGGCAGTTCATAAGAAAAATTTAATTACAACGCTTAATGCACTGTCTTGTTTACATGAAGGTATTTTTGTGTGTCAGGGAGTGCCAGATAATGCATAATTCTTCAAAGATAAGGTTTCACTCCTCTTACGGCGTAAAGATACATCTTGATGCTTATGCGGTAGCACATGTGGTGCACCAGCTATTAAATAGTCGTTCACAACGAATGTGAAATCGATGACTCTGCAAATAATCAAGTAATATAGAGCTCTGGTTTATTTCAATTATCTCCTAGGAAACTGGGGTGGGGGACAAGGGGCGGTGCAACATGCTGTGAAATTCGGTCTTGGAGAGGCCATTTGTTATGGCCTCCTCTAATTGAATGTCTGTTTGCTTGGTTGTTAATCGCAAGTCAGAGTTCCAGGCTTGAACTCATAGGCGTTCTGAGGCCTTGGTACTTCCATTAATTTCAAAATAGACCCTCGACGTTGAAACGGCCCATTTTGTGGTTGACCGTTCCGCACCTGCAGCGAGGCGATTTTCTGGTTTCGTTATAGCATTTGGAATTTTGGTATCCACACCTGCGTATCCTTTTTTTGTAGTTGTTGGATGAAATACCTCTTGTTCGGCCTCGATTGAAGGCCAGCTGTTCACTTTTCTAGAACAACTGTCATTTGTCTCATAGTCGCCAGTACGCGGTAAAAAGTCGATTCAATTAACATTGCGAACATTTGCAAAAAATCGAATTTGCTATTGTCGCCCATATAACCTCGGAAATAAAGCGTATATTTAAAATGAAACCTAAAAGCTTTAACATATTATGAAACAAGAATATTATGAGAAAAAGTCCGAAAGTATTTCAAGGGAATTATGATATAACAAAACATAAAGCTATGATATTACGGTAGAGGTTTTCGTCTATGTTCGACTTGAAACAGATGTGTTCGGCGGCATTTGTCCCGAGAATTTTCTTTTTCGTTAAGGCGATTTTTTCAAAGACGATTTTGCTTCGATAAAATCAGATTATGTGTGTATTAAGGTGAATGGGTTGTATTACAGCAAACGCCTTGTCATCTACTTTGCTGAGAAGTTACATTGATTTTAATAAGCGCGGTATTATCGCACTTACCATTCACGTGTAACCTGCTATTGAAGATCTACGAAAATATATGCAATATTGTGATAAAATAAGTCGATACGTCATGTTTTGTAAAACTTCTGTACATAACAGATTTCTGAGGAGCTACAGACCATCTTTACTCCATTTTTAGTTACGCAATGTTTAATGTCTTCGCTTCAGGTCTCCGAAATCATGGAAAGGGAGCATTTTGAAGTCTCCTCACTAGCTATCATGTTCATAATTGTATCTGCCCATATTTCTGGTCATTTTTCTTCAGCCATTCCTAAATGAAATTTTTGGCCATTGTTTTTCTTCAGTCCATTTATTAAATGCCAGTTCTTCAGCTGAAGTAAAATAGACTCGGCTCATGATGTCATCTTTTCTAGATACAACGTTTTATCAAATCCAGCTTTCATGAATGTCAGGGTATGAGAAAGGTATATAAATGGAATAGTAGAAAGCGTTTGCTTTTTCCATAAGCGTTATATAACCGGTGGTTCCAAGTGTCGCTCTTTTCCTATAAACTGGAAGGTACAAAGAAAGTTTCCCATCGCTTTCCAGCTCATGGATGAACTGAATGTTTCCATGCATAC